ATCCTTATTTTAATACATTTTGTGTACACATAAGTACAAGTTATGGATTTGCCTAAATATTTCCAAAATTCCTCAAAGTCTTATTATGCTAATATATATATGACCATGCCAATTGAAAATTACGATATTTTTTTTCTTTTACCATACATGCCATAAAGGTTTCCAATCATTTCCTACAAACACTAAACACTGCTGTATACATATAAATATACAATATATGTATGTTGTCTGAAAATATAAAATTAATTTGTATGAGCTTTAGAAACAGGACGAAAAGCAAGGCTCTAGCGAGTACAAATACATTTTATATTTTCCGACAATGTACATATATTGTGTTTATCCTGAAATTACTCCCAACACTTGAAAATTTAGTTATTTAAATCTAAATCATTGTCTCTTATTTCTCAAAGAAATCGACATAGTTGAAACACGGACCGCGAAGAGGACCCCAAAATGAACTGGTTTGGAAACAGAAATATTCATATTACCGCTTGCTCAACATGGAAGTGGGGGTAACAGGAGACTTCATTTGTACAAGTACAAATAAAGCAAAAATTCATTTGTATACCTGTTATTTGTACAATAGTTGGCTAATTGCAGGATAAATACTGCAACTAGTTGTGTTTATTTCCTAAATATAGTAACACAGCTATATTTTGTACAATGTAATTTCATCATGGAAAACTTTTTCCACAGTCAGGGGTTTATTAAGGGATGAAAATATGTTTGAAATTTGAGTTAAAATTTAAATAGCTATCAATGTGTTAATTTAAGTTGCAGTATAAAAACAATATTAGGTCAACATGGTCAATGTCATAAAAATATAAACTTTTTTGTATTCGGCACAAACTGGGGAAGGGCTCGGTAAAACCTTGCCATTCCACAGTTTTTTAGCCTCATACAAAAATGTTTTCTGACATTGACCTAATATTGGATATAAACATACCTTACAAACAGCCAGTAACTTTAACCTATCATCATCTTTATCTGTATGAGTGACATCAGGGAAAATTAAGTCTGGAAGGGAGGTAACTATATTATTCCCAATTTCAATACTTGCTGGTCGAAGTACAGAGGAACTCCTAAAAATAAAAAACTTATTTCACAAATGTTCTGGTAAATATCTAAGTTTTATCTTGCTTTTTCTGGTCAATTTATTTGGTCACTAACTAAAAGGGACATACTTCCTAATAAAAACATTTTTTATTTTAATACATATGTTTTGATAATTTTTTTTTTTTCACTCAATTTAATCAGTCACTAACTAAAAGAATCCTGAAATGATGGTTTTACAAGAAAAATACACCACCTGTGGATATTGTTTTCTTTAGTCTAATGTCCTTCTTTGATTAACATGATTAAGATCATATTTTATAGAGGCAAATATGAATATTTCTCTGAAATTTTGAAAGATGATTGAAAATATTATATAATGTCTGAGTTCACAATTTGGTTTCATATTTAAAGATCTATATAATTCTGGACAGAAAATAGTATTGGTAATCACTTTCCCATATCATTGCATATGGTTAAACAACTACGCAAGTTGGACAAAACTCTATCTCCTGGAAAGAATGTGTAAAAAAATGCTGTAATTTCTTAAAAATTATTTGGAGTTGTCTCTCTTGATCCAGAATATATAGGACAGATTTTAAAATTTTACTTTGACATGAAGATGCTGATCTATATTAAAGGATAATGCTTATATATTTGAACATGCTTATACATGTACATACATGTGACATATGCATTTGTATAAGATTGGGTACATGTACTTACAAACTTGTCAATCCAAACATTGCAGCAAATTCTTGAAACAAGCTTTGATACATTCCTCCTGTCATTTCTTGTTTTTTTCTTATCATACTTATGTTGATCAGTTGCTGTGCAAATAATTCTCCATGAACTTGAAATCTAAGGAGGAGAAAAGATGCAAATCATTTCTGAGGTTTTAAGATTTTAAGAAGATAAAATAACATTCCAAAGAAAAGCATTCTACATGAACTTGAAATCTGAAGAACATAAAATGAAATCTAAAGAAAGTATAATAAAAAAAGCATCCTCCAGTAACTTTTATCTCAAGAAGATAGTATTATCAAATCACTTTCCATGATGTTGAATGCAGGGTTCGACATTAACGCCTGTCCAACTGTTTGGGACAAGTGAAAGTCATCATCAGGCAAATAAAAGCTGCAATGCACTTGTCTGATGAGGAAGTAAAAATTAAATATGGATAGAAAGCTTTATTTGGGGTATTCAGGATTGAGTTGTTTAATTAGAGGGAATTCGGGAAGACCCAGTTATTTGTCTAAAATTCAGGATTTAGTCATAATTGTGATGCAGAAATGGACGCATAATTTTCATGCTATTTGGGATATAATATGACATTTATTCTTTCGAAAATTCAGGATGAGACCGACTCCTACCCCTCTCAATTAAAAGATAAAACTAATTTCACTCTCCCTCCCTGTTTAGAAAGTTCTTAAGCAAGTACAAAATTTGCACAAGTGGCAGTGGCGGATCCATGGGGGAGGTTAAGGGGGTTGGAACCACCCTTTTTTTTTTTGGATGATCAATGTATTTGAATGGGGACTTAATTATGGTTGGAACCCCCTTTCTCCTGGGTTTGGGACCCCCCCCCCCCCCCTTTTTTTCAATTGGCTGGATCCACCCCTGAGTGGTTTTCAATTTCAGACAAGTAATATATCATGGTCACTTGCCAGAAGACTTGAAGGGCAAGTTGTCAAAAAAGAAAGTTAATGCATCATCAGGATCAGTGCAAACATGGAATGTACTTTTTTATACTTTATACATGTACAGAACTCATGCTCTGGTTGATTTTCAGTACATTGTTTAATAAATATGCCACATGCCACATGTATCTTAGCTATTTTTGTCTTGGTTTGCTGTCTAATTCAAGAGTATCTTACATGTAAATCTACATGTTTTATTCATATTTTTGAGGATTCTTCAATATAATATATGTCGTGTACATTTTATTATTTGTACAGGTTATTACTTGTACAAAAACTTTGTATGAGTAATTACTTGTATGATGCCATCATACAAGTTATTAATTGTACAAATATAATTGTACAAGTAATTACTTGTACAATTTTTGTTGTGAAACAGATAATAACTTGTACAACTCACTATATTTGTTTCTTCTTTAATTTTCTGTTTTTTTTTTAAATGTTTTAATCAAAAACTCCTTTCTTTGGGTTTGATATTTGGTTTTGTCATTTGTTGGGTTACATTCTTTTTTCACAATTTTTTTTCAATGTACTGAATTGTTGTAAACATCAAATAGGCCATGGTAGAATAATGATTTGTACAAGTTATTATCTTTTTCTCAATAAAAATTGTACAAGTAATTACTGGTACAATAATATTTGTACAGGTAATTACTTGTACAAAATGTTTGTACGTAAGTAATAACCTGTACAAAATAATAACATGTCATGCATGTACACGACATATATATATATATACATGATGTATAATATGTATAATGACCTGAAATTTGGGACTTAACTAACCACTATTCAAAGGAAGTCTAAGATCAGCAATATCTCAGATGGATTCTTACATGTATATACAAATGTAATAATTAGATGTGTACATAGATATAGGAAGATGTGGTATGAGTGCCAATGAGACAACTTTCCATCCAAGTCACAATTTATAAAAGTTAACCATTATAGATTAAGGTATGGTCTTCAACACGGAGCCTTGGCTCACACCGAACAGCAAGCTATAAAGGGCCTCAAAATATTACTAGTGTAAAACCATTCAAACGGGAAAACCAACAGTCTAATCTATATAACATGTATAAATCAAAGTGATCTAAAATCACTAATGGAAAGATTGGAAGGATTGTGTGTATAATTTCAATCATATTTTACTCTTCCATAGCAGTGGTAGTGGACAACAAAAACTTGCTATAACACTATTGCATATTTGTTAGTTATATTACTGCAGATTTTTGGAATGATAAGCAATTTTTCAGTGAAAAAATTAGCTTAATAGAGTTATGTCAGTGGGTCACTAAGTTTGCATAATTACTACTTTTTGATTGCAACTTAATGTTTATATTTTTTTGAACAGAAGAAATTACCTGATAAAAAAATATCCTTATAGTTTCTCAGTAAACCTGGGATCAATGCAGGGGCGGATCCAGCCATTTTTAAAAGGGGGGTTCAATACCCCGGAACCCTGCCCCTGGATCCGCCACTGCAATGGTTAAAGAGACTTGAAACTTACAATCCTTTTTTCATCTCCCAAAATTAACCTGTGAATGGTTGTTTTGTGGGCATGTCTGTTTCTCTGCATTCAATTACATTGCTAAGTATAGCTTATTGATTTTGATTGAAACAATAATATATGAAATTGAAGATGCATGGTTGACAAAGGGTAAATTTCCAATCAATAAACTTAATATGATGTTTTTATTCTATTGTCCAAAGATTGAGACTTTTAATTTTTGAGGCAAATTCTTATTTATTTCATTGAAAAAATATATTACCCCACAGTATTTAAATATGCTAATACCCTCTCTGATAAATGTAACCTATTAAAATTATGGATTAATTACAGATAATTGTTGCACAGATTTTCATGAAAACAGACACCACTAATATATTAATGGATTCTTTACTCATACAGATTTTCATTTTGGTCTTTTCTCAAAAAATAATCCTTTCACTTAATCATCTTTCAAACAAGATTATTTAGAGATCATTATAATGCAGTGTAAATCAAAAGATATATATAGGTAAAGGAATCTATCATCTGTATATAATTTTTTTAAAGAAATCTCCATTTAGTATTTGTTAGTTTCAACTGGTTTGTGATGTCATGAAAAAGTTATGTTACTAACCATAACTTTAAACCAGCTTAGAATAAATAGTCATGAGCTGGCCAAAGAAAAAATCACTCTGGACTCAGAATCCCAAAACATGCAAATTATTAAGATATATGATTAACAAATTTAAAATTACTTTTGATACAACTGTATATCTAATTTGTCATCACAATGAGGCGGCTGAATGTTCCATTTACTGATATCATAACAATGACGATTTCTGAAATCAGCTACCATCATTTCAAAAGCTGCACAGGGTTCAATATTTTCAACTTCATCAGCATCTAACACATTACAATGAGTATCAAATCCTATTATGCTATGTTTGGCTATTGCCGTTTTACAACGTTCAACGCGACTTAAAATTTTAGGATCGTTTACACTAAAAGCAAAGGAGATCAAATCCATAGGATCAAATGATTTTGTAAGAATGCTGTCAATGTCCAACGTATTTAGAGTATTTCGGGTCCATTGTGAAGTACATTCCTCAATATCTGATTCCATGGGTATGAAAATTCTTTGTTGGTCCCTGCTATTGTAATGAGATGACGCAGTTCTTTCAAATAAAGTTGGGATTTTGTCTGCCATAATTTTCTCTTTGGGGATACAAAGGAAAGGGGGATGAAACGAGTGTTATTGTATAATTGTTAAATACCATGTATCCTTCTCCCTTACACGGAGAACAATCACTCTTATAAGAGTATCATTCTAATGCATTTAATTTATATCGATCGTTACGAGTGGCAATGAGCACAAAGCCTTTTCTTTAAAAATGCATATACATACAAGAAATTGTGACTTCACTGAGGTACATGTATATTATAGGAGTGTAAAATTGATCATCGGCACATATGAGGTGACCCTGGGAAGAGAATACTTATTAGAAGGGTCTGAATGGGGGTTACAGAATAAAGAATTATGGGCCAATACTACAGAAAAATGGGCCAGACAATAAAGAATAGATAAAAATAGTGAAAAGTATAAAGAATAGAGAATAATGGGATGTTAAAATATAAAGAATAAAGAACAATGGGCAAAACATATAAAGAATAGAGGATAATGGGCAAAACATATAAAGAATAGAGAACAATGGGCAAAACATATGAAGAATAGAGAACAATGGGCAAAACATATGAAGAATAGAGAACAATGGGCAAAACATACATGTATAAAGAATAGAGAACAATGGGCAAAACATATGAAGAATAGAGAACAATAGGCAAAACATATAAAGAATAGAGAACAATGGGCAAAACATATAAAGAATAGAGGATAATGGGCAAAACATATAAAGAATAGAGAACAATGGGCAAAACATATAAAGAATAGAGAACAATAGGCAAAACATATAAAGAATAGAGAACAATGGGCAAAACATACAAAATAAAGAGAACAATGGGCAAAATATATAAAGAATAGAGAACAATGGGCAAAACATACAAAGAATAGAGAACAATGGGCAAAACATATAAAGAATAGAGAACAATGGGCAAAACATATGAAGAATAGAGAACAATGGGCAAAACATATAAAGAATAGAGGATAATGGGCAAAACATATAAAGAATAGAGAACAATGGGCAAAACATATAAAGAATAGAGAACAATGGGCAAAACATATAAAGAATAGAGAATAATGGGCAAAACATATAAAGAATAGAGAACAATGGGCAAAACATATAAAGAATAGAGAACAATGGGCAAAACATATGAAGAATAGAGAACAAGGGGCAAAACATATGAAGAATAGAGAACAATGGGCAAAACATACATGTATAAAGAATAGAGAACAATGGGCAAAACATATGAAGAATAGAGAACAATGGGCAAAACATATAAAGAATAGAGGATAATGGGCAAAACATACAAAGAATAGAGAACAATGGGCAAAACATTTAAAGAATAGAGAACAATGGGCAAAACATATTAAGAATAGAGAACAATGAGCAAAACATATAAAGAATAGAGAACAATGGGCAAAATATATAAAGAATAGAGAACAACGGGCAAAACATATAAAGAATAGAGGATAATGGGCAAAACATATAAAGAATAGAGAACAATGGGCAAAACATATAAAGAATAGAGAACAATGGGCAAAACATATAAAGAATAGAGAACAATGGGCAAAACATATAAAGAATAGAGAACAATGGGCAAATCATATAAAGAATAGAGAACAATGGGGTGTTCTTCAAAATATAAACAATAGAAAATATTGGGAAAAATTTATAACGAATAGAGACAATTGGAAGTTGAAAATTTAAAGAATACAGAATTGAATGATCCCCCATCCAAATTGTCTTTTATGTTCCAGTTGCTACCTTGGACATAAAATGAAATTTACAAACTGCATATGCATTATATAATAATTTGATAGGGTCAGAATTAGGGTGGGTTTGGGATTTTTTTGGATGAGATCTTCATTTCTATATTTAACTTTTATGTCAGTTTTCTCTTTCTTTATTCTATTGTCAGTTTTTCTCTAATCTTTATACTTTAGTACCCAATACTTTTCTATTCTTTAATCAGATATGGCACAATTTCTCTATTCCTTATTTTTGTAGCCTATTATATATGTAACCTGTCGAGTTAAAGCCAGAATTGACACATTCGACGAAACGATACAGATACAGATAACTCTTTATATATATTCTGTCGCGGTGAATCCTCCATATACCATATGGCACCCTCATATAACGAATATAATTCATGTGCCTGCATTTTAGTCTTTAATTGAAGGAATTTATATTAATTCTTCGTTCTGTAAGACAATTCCTATTGCATATATTAGCTAGTATATATGCAGAAAAATCTTAACAAGTCTTAATTAAAAACAACGTTCAAACCTATGATTGCGTTGGATAAAAACCGCAATTTTTATACGTGCATGCAAAACAAATTTCTTGATAAGAGGGGTCTAAATACAGCACAAACAACATTTTCCAAAACCAAAAAAGTGAAAAAGTAAATTTTAACAAAACGCATTTGACTAACAGGTCGAACAACAGATGTTCTTAAACCCTGCTGACTGCCATTGGCGATTGTCTAATAAACGGATCACAAGATGTTACAAAATGGATCTTTTAAAATTATTAATCTAATACCAAACAGAAAACAATAAACTTGCGGAAAAGATGGTATACCGCAAACAAAAGGTGCAAAAATTAGTACACCATATCCGGATTTCGACAATCAATGTCTCTTCAGTGATGTTAGGGATCGAAACGGTATTTGGAAGGCTATATAATTTACATCAATTTAGGATAGACTCTTAAATTTTGAAGAGTCGAAATATTAGAAATAGGATGAACGGATCATGTAAACCCGAAGGGAAATATAATACAAGCCCAAACGAAAAAATATAAACAAGTCTTAATTGAAAAAATCTTAATATACATCAAAACTTAAAAAAATTATGAAAACCACAAGACGATCATGATTTCTAAAACTGCTTAAATGAAGAAGAAAAAAAAAACAACTTTGCAAATATTTTTTAATTTTACATATATATTTATATATAGTTCAAATATATAGTAATTCTATAACTTTCCAAAAACGATTTGTCCTGTTTGGTTTACACAATTGATTTGACACGATTGGAGGTTACTCATACGGGTTCTTATTTTAGCGGCATCTCACTCGTGAAAAATAGTAATAAACAGTAATACTAATGTTAAGTCATGAACTAAGTAGTAAGTATAACCAGGACACGAATGTACCGACGACAAATTAGTATTAAGAATGTTCGCTACTCTGTTTCAAAACAACACAAGCTTTTTAAAAGACTTTTATAAATTGATAATATAAAAAATTATAAATAAAGAAACTAAAAAAGCAGAAAAAAATGAAGGGTCCATGTGCTTGTTTTTGAGATAAAAGTCATTGAAAATTTGGCGGGAAATAATTCTGTCTAGATTTTTCATACATTTAACATTGGCACCTTTTTTCTTTCAAAAACAATGAAAAATTAACAAGGATTTTATAAGATTTTCAAAGATGACGTTTTAAACTATATGTAATCAAATTATGGAAAGAAAAGTAGGGGTTAATGGGTTGAAAATTTTTAATGACACTACATGGATAAAACCAGAGGATTCCGAATATCTGGCAAAAAATTCAAAAACAAGAGGAGCGAATATCCTTAAGTTGAAAAACATAATTTTAGAATAGAACTGTTAGCTTAGACCAATAGGTATTGATCACCGAATGCAGCCCATTCGGGTAGCATTTAGTAAGTAATAAACCCGACAAATGAAAAAGTTGTTTCCACGCAAACTAGTGACTTTAATATTTTAAATTGATTGAAAATTGTAAATATCTTTTAGTTTAGCAATATACATACTCGACTATCTAAATAAACAGTCCGAAACATGTTTTTTTAAAGGGTGTAACTCTTAGCTGTGTGTTATTTATATGACGAGAACAAATGTAAAAGAGAAAATGAGACTGTTCATTTCTAAATTGAAGTTCAGTATAGATACGGTTAGAAACTAGGAGACCATCGGCTTCAGGAAATACACCACGGAACCCAATCTTAGGTTCAAGCTTCAGTCATTTCAAACGAATTTACATTTGAAGACTATGAAGGAGACATTAAGGGTAGGAATGGGGTACCCCACATGACGAATGACGGTAAATATTTGTTAATATAACGTTAATGATAATCATTTTACTCCATTTGACGCTAACGGTAACTACACAATGAGATTTGACGAATGACGATAATAAATTAAGACTCATTTGATCCTAACGGTAGCGAAAAACGGACGTTTAACGATTTACGATAAAGGGCATTCCTACCCTCGTACATGACCATACTGCATTTAAACCCTTTGTTTATCCCTTAAGAAAAGGGGATTTCGAAAAGAGTTCCTTCAAAATTATATAATAAAATAAAAGCAGCTTCAGTATGTATAAACAAATTGCAGCATCCTATCATACGTGGAACATTAAGTAGTCTCCACAAAGTAATTTTAATTACATTAATTGCAATAGAAATATCTCTTCAAAATCATCTGTATTCTGGTGTTTAAGGAACTATGGCCACATATTGTCATTCATCGAAATAATATGACATCATCCCATATTTAAACTTGATGACAAACCCATAAAAACTTTATAAAATTTATTCTACATTTTCGTATGATGACAGGTCTACAAGTTTTATTCCTTTGTAAACAGTCACATTATTATCTCATACTTTCACTGACTCTGATGATAGAACAAGCTACGGAGAATTTTACCGAGTCGCTGTCGAAGCGGAATAATCGAATTACATACTCCTGTTAATATTTTATTGAAAATATCAGTTTCGTCGGTCGTGTTTTTTGCAGCTGACTTCTGTATGGTAAATTTGCCGTGAAAAATCACCATATTTGCAACGGTAAACGAGTCCTCTATTGCTTTGATTAGTAGCTTATAAAATACATAGTGTTTTCATCAAAGGGTTTCCTTTTTTAAGTTTACAAGCTTTCACTTTCAGCCTATTACTGTTTCCAATTGATATTTCTTTTCAAATAACACTATTTTATATACAAACAATAGGGAAGAATGTGGCTAGAAAATTGTTTAAATGTAATTCTTTTGACATATTATTTACGA